TTTCTGCTCTGATCTTTATGATTTCTCTTCTCCTGCTGGGTTTAGGCTTTATTTGCTGTTCTTTCTCCAGCTCCTTTAGGTGTAGGGTTAGGTTGTGTACTTGAGACCTTTCTTGTTTCTTGAGAAAGGCTTGTATTGCTATATACTTTCCTCTTAGGACTGCCTTTGCTGCATCCCAAAGATTTTGAACAGTTGTGTTTTCATTTTCATTGGTTTCCATGAAATTTTTTAATTCTTCTTTAATTTCCTGGTTGACCCATTCATTCTTCAGTAGGAAGCTCCTTAGCCTCCATGTATTTGAGTTCTTTCCGACTTTCCTCTTGTGATTGAGTTCTATTTTCAAACCATTGTGGTCTGAAAATAGGCAGGGAATGATCCCAATCTTTTGGTACCGGTTGAGACCTGATTTATGACCTAGGATGTGATCGATTCTGGAGAATGTTCCATGGGCACTAGAGAAGAATGTGTATTCCGTTGCTTTGGGGTGGAATGTTCTGAATATGTCTGTGAAGTCCATTTGGTCCAGTGTGTCATTTAAAGTCTTTATTTTCTTGTTGATCTTTTGCTTAGACGATCTGTCCATTTCAGTGAGGGGGATGTTAAAGTCCCCCACTATTATTGTATTGTTGTCGATGTGTTTCTTTGCTTTTGTTATTAATTGCCTTATATAATTGGCTGCTCCCATGTTAGGGGCATAGATATTTACAATTGTTAGATCTTCTTGTTGGATAGATCCTTTAAGTATGATATAGTGTCCTTCCTCATCTCTTATTACAGTCTTTGGTTTAAAATCTAATTTGTCTGATATAAGGATTGCCACCCCAGCTTTCTTTTGGTGTCCATTAGCATGGTAAATGGTTTTCCACCCCCTCCCTTTCAATCTGGGGGTGTCTTTGGTTCTAAAATGAGTCTCTTGCAGACAGCATATCGATGGATCTTGTTTTTTAATCCAGTCTGTTAGCGTGTGTCTTTTGATTGGGGCGTTTAGCCCATTTACATTCAGGGTAACTATTGAAGGATAGGAATTTAGTGCCATTGTATTGCCTGTAAGGTGACTGTTACCATATATTGTCTGTGTTCCTTTCTGGTCTATGTTGCTTTTAGGGTCTCTCTTTGCTTAGAGGGCCCCTTTCAAGATTTCCTGTAGGGCTGGTTTTGTGTTTGCAAATTCCTTTAGTTTTTGTTTGTCCTGGAAGCTTTTTATCTCTCCTTCAATTTTCAATGACAGCCTAGCTGGATAGAGTATTCTTGGCTGCATATTTTTCTCATTTAGTGCTCTGAATATATCCTGCCAGTCCTTTCTGGCCTGCCAGGTCTCTGTGGATAGGTCTGTTGCCAGTGTAATGTTTCTACCCTTGTAGGTTACATATCTCTTCTCCCGAGCTGCTTTCAGGATTTTCTCTTTGTCTATGAGACTCGTAAGTTTTACTATTAGATGTTGGGGTGTTGACCTATTTTTATTGATTTTGAGAGGGGTTCTCTGTGCTTCCTGGATTTTCATGCCTGTTTCCATCCCCAAATTAGGGAAGTTCTCTGCTATAATTTGCTCCATTATACCTTCTGGCCCTCTCTCTCTTTCTTCTTCTTCTGGGATCCCAATTATTCTAATGTTGTTTTATCTTATGGTATCGCTTATCTCTCGAATTCTGCCCTCGTGTTCCAGTAGTTGTTTATCTCTCTTTTTCTGAGCTTCTTTATTTTCCATCATTTCATCTTCTATATTATTGATTCTCTCTTCTGCCTCATTTATTCTAGCAGTTAGCACCCCCATTTTTGATTGCACCTCATTAATAGCCTTTTTGATTTCTACTTGGTTGGATTTTAGCTCTTTTACTTCTCCAGAAAGGGTTTCTCTAATAACTTCCATATTTTTTTCAAGCCCAGCTAGTATCTTTAAAGTGATGATTCTGAACTCTAGATCTGACATCGTACTAATGTCCATATTGAGTAGTTCCCTGGCAGTCGGTACTAGCTCTTGTTCTTTTTGTTGAGGTGATTTTTTCCGTCTTGTCATTTTGTACAGAGGAGAATAGATTAATGAGAGAACAAAATGCTAGCAGAGTAACCACATCCCCAGAAAATATACTCTAAACAAATCAGAAAAGACCTGAAGCAGTGGGATAAGAAAGGGAAAGAGAGAAACAAGAAAAAGAAAAAAAAAAGATAAAGATAAAAACAAAAACAAACAAAACAAAACAACAACAACAAAAGGAAAACCAAAATGTGATCAAATATGATCTATATAGTATATAGATCAGTGCCACACACTAGATTTGGGGTGTATTTTGGTCTTTTAGAAGAAAGTGCCTCCCAAAATTTTAAAGAAAGAAAAACTTATATATGTACAAAAATAAGGGTTGATATGATGAAGGGATGGAATATGACTATAAAAATGGAAATTATAAAAAATGTTATAAAAGGAATTGATAAGAAGTTGTTTGAAAAAAGAAAGAAGAGGATTTAAAAAGAAAAAAAAAAGGGAGAGGATGTGATCAGGCAGGGGAATAGAAAGCACCATATACTAGAGATTTAGGGTATATTTTAATCTGTTAGAAGAAACTATCTCAAAATTTTAAAGAGAGAACAACTTATATATATAAGCCAAAAATATGGGTAACTACTATGAAGGGATAGAATATGACTCTAAAAATGAAAAATAAAAATGTTTTTTTTTTTTTAAAAAAGGGATTGATAAGATGTTGGTTGAAAAAGGGGAAAAAAAATTCAAAAAGAAATAATAAGACAAAAAGACAGTTAAAAAACAATTAACTTTAAAAGACTAAAGAATCATGGTAAAAAAGCCGTGAATTCTATGTGCAGTATTCCCCCAGTGCTGGAGTTCTGCCGTTCTCATTGATCGGTAACCTTGGTCTTGGCTGGCTGTTCTCGCTGATCTTCTGGGGAGGGGCCTGTTGCCGTGGTTTCCAAATGTCTCTGCCGGAGGCGGAATAGCCCCGCCCTTGCCCCCTCCCAGCTAAGTAATCTGCTCGGGTTTGCTCTCCGGGGCTTTTGTTCCCTGCGAGCTTTCCGTACAGCTTTGGAGGCGGAGAGTGAAAATGGCGGCCTCCCAATCTCCGCCCCAGAGGAGCCGAGAACTCGGGCCCGCTCCTCAGTGAGCCCCCAGAGAAAAGCCGCCAGTCACTCCCGTCTCCCCGGTCTCCGGCTGCACTCCGTGCTCACCCGGCCCACGACCGCGCGCCTCTATCTCTGGCACCCGACCCCGTGTGGAGTCTCCAAACCCAGCAGATCCCTGCGGTGCACTCCCGCGCGGCTCCTCCCGGGGGAGGAAGGTGAGTGTCCCCGGATCTGCCGCTTGTTGGGTCCCTGCTGGAGGAGCAGTGGCCTGGCTGGGCCGCGGATCACGGTTAATGGCAACCCCAGCTGAGAGCCCGCGCCTGGGCTCCGCCTCTGCAGCCGGCTTCCCTGCTGCGTTACCTGGGAGCTCTGCTGCCCTCAGGCACCCCCGGTCTTTCTGTGACCCCGAGGGTCCTGAAACCACACTCTCCCGGAGGGTTCCACCCCCCGCTTAGCCACCAGAGTGACGTCCCTCGGCGGAGCAGACTTTTAAAAGTCCCGATTTTGTGCTCCGCGGCTCTATCACTTGCCAGAAGCGGCTGACGGAGGCCCCTCCCCCGCCGTCTATCCTCCCGAATATCACCTCGGATTCACTTCTCCGCACGTCCTACCTTCCAGAAAGTGGTCGCTTTTCTGATGAGAGAGTTGTTGCTCTTCTTTTCTTCGATCTCCTGTTGAGTTTGTAGGTGTTCAGAATGGTTTGATCCCTATCCAGCTGAATTCCTGAGAGGAGACGAAATCCAGGTCTCCTACTCCTCTGCCATCTTGCTCCGCCCCCCATCTTGTGTACTCTTTTTAAAGACTTTTCTCTACCTTGCATTTTTTCACTTAATGATACATCATAGAGACCCCTCTGTAGTGATAAATAGAAGAAATATTGCATTTCTTGTTCTGAGTATTATAATTTCATACCTATAACACAAATCAATCTCCAAATCAATAGATTATTTCAGTTAGGGACTCTGATCAAATTTGGTGCCCCCAGTATCCTAACTTTAGTAAATGAAACTGTGTTTGAATGGCTTGCGTCTTATCCTGACATCCGTCCCAAGAAATCCAGTCCGACTCTTGCATAGAGAGGCTTTTCTTGCTTGGTGCATTTGCTTTATTTTCTTTTGAATCAACAAATGCTTATTGAGAACTTCGTGCCGGTTACTAGGTATACCAAGATACATGAGTTGCGTTCTGGCTTCAAACAGTTCAAACGTGAGCAGAGAAAATATACCTAAGAGGGCCGATATGGTGTGGGAAGTGCTTGGCATGTGGTGCCTCATTTCCCCTGATGGCTTTGGTGATGGTACAGCCCGTGGGGGGCAAGTCGACAGATTGCAAGGGGCGTCTGGTTGGGCTTTCATGCTGGCTGGAAGGTACAGGGAGAAACACATGGTAGACATTTAATAAATAGTAATGTTTCTCGTCTCCCCTCTCACTTCCCCAAATAATTTCCTTCCTGTAGAGCTAAGTGTTATTCCATCCTCTGACTCACCATTCTCCAGAACAGTCACACTCTCTGCATTAAGTATTATCTGCTCAGGCAGTCACCCCATTTCTATTAGGTTATCATTTTGAACCTCTCCTTTCGGGGCCTCCCCTTCTTTCCTACCCCTCCTTTCCCTTTCCCTAATGCTTCCGTTTTATAGCTTTTCCAGTCATCCCCACTGTTTACTCTTTTATTCTGATGTAACCAATCCCACTCATACAAACTCAATTCATTCCAAAAGGAGACTTAATGTGCCATAAAACTAACAGGGAGATTGCTCTCAAGGTGGGCAATAAGCTGACACAGCACACAGGTAATATTTATACAGCCATCCTACTTCAAGAAATACCAGCCACCGCACTGCTTGCAAATCACAGGGTAATTATCTGCTTTAGGTCCTTAATCACTGAAGCGAAGCCCTTCATAAGTAAACACAAATAGCGAATGTGAAGCTGGATGCGAAAGACAAATGAGACAAGGGAGAGACACCCTCTGGGGGCGAGGCCAGGAGCGGTGGAAGGGGCCCTCCCTGCGGTCTTTCTGGAGGCAATCTAGCACCCTGGTCAATATCAGGGTCTCCGAACGCAGAGAGGCAGGGGTTTAAAGAAGGTCCTGACCCTGGGCCAGTGGCTTCGGCCAGGTGTGCCTTGCTTTTCTTCCACAGAAGATGGCCATGATATTCCTGCCTTACTGATTAGTGGTAAGGATGGCATTACACGACGTACCTAAAGTGCTGGTACTTAATAGACACACACATGTTTCTTCTAATCAGTATCGTCCTTGTCTTAATCTATAACTACCAAGTTTTTGTTGTTGTTGTTGTGTTTGTTTTGTTTTGTTTTAACGAGGGTTTTTTTTTCATCTGGGGGAGTCCCAGAAGAAGCCACGATTTGCACCAATCCTCGCAGATGCTCCTGGACTGTTCCGGCAGAGAACACCTGGGCTGTCAGGATCATCCTTTAAAGAGCGGCACGTGGGGATGCACTTTCAGCTTGCAGGTGCCATCGACGTACAAATGCGGGTGGAAGTCTAATGTTTGTGGGGAGGCACAATGGTGCCTTTTCAGAAGCTGCGCTTCAACCCCAGGATCCGCATCGGGTCCCGGCTGAACATCCCTGAGAGCCAATGTCTAGAGCCTCACAGCACGTGTTAGAGACTGCTCAACAGTGACCTCACCCCCAGCCCTCCAGTTTTCAGTATGGAATCAGAAGGCTTAATTTTGCAAGCAGGGAATTTGTTCCAACAGCTCCAAGTCTTGCTTTCAAACTCTCAGATGCTTAAAATGCAAACAGGAAAAAAACAACTTTAACCCTACTAAGCTTTACCGCTACAGTTAAGAAGTCCCCCTTTATGTGTATTTTTCCTTGTCATCTTTGCTGTAATTTCTGTTGGATACTTATTCCAGGCTGGAGAACCCTAGGCATTTGGAAATAGGTTCAAATTCGAGAATGGGCCTTTTGACCATCTCAAGATAGACCCTTCAATTATAAAAAAAATGACTCTGTGAGTCTTACAATAGTAATAGCTCTCATTTATGGAGGGTTTGTTACATGTCAGGTTCTGTAGTGAGAACCTTGTATTAATTCACTCACTCCCCTCCATTACTTGTGAGATAGTTACGATTATTTTAATTTTTCCCGGTTTTATTGAGATATAATTGGCGTACATCCCTCTATGAGTTTCAGGTGTTAGCATGAAGGTTTAACTCACATACATTATGAAGTGATATCCATAGTAAGTTATGATAACGTTCATCATCTCATAAAGATACAATAAAAAATGATCGTTTTTATCTTATAGACGAGGAAACTGAAACATGAGGAGTTAAGTAGCCTTTCCACGATTATACAGCTACTAAATAGGAGCCCGGGCATTGAATGCTGGTGGTGTGGAGTAGACAAAGCCTGCTCACCTGTCAGTTATAATATCCTGCCTCTTCCGGGGAAAGGAAAGGTACACTCTCTTCAAGAGCTCAGAGGAGTGGGGACGCCGGGGTGGCTCAGTCAGTAAAGGGTCTGCCTTCGGCTCAGGTCATTATCTCAGGGTCCTGGGATCGAGCCCCGCTGAGCGGGGAGCCTGCTTCTCTCTCTGCCTCTGCTGCCACTCCCCCTGCTTGTGCACTCTCTCTCTCTCTGTCAAAGAAATAAAATCTTAAAAAAAAAAATAAAAAGAGCCCAAAGAAGTGATTGTTCGGAAGATGAGCTGTAAAAAGCAAAATGCAATTTTCAGTAGCTAATAGTATTATTATGTTATTTATTTAACTTTATTGACATATAATTGACATTAGTTTCAGGTGTACAACATAATGATTTGATATGTGTCTATATTGTGAAATAATCTTTACGATAGGTCCAGTTAACATTATTTACTTTTTATTTTGAGAATTTTAAAGTGTTTATTCTTGTGTGTTTTTAAATATTAAAAGAGAGTTATTGCATTGGGTCCTGATTCAATTGGCAAATTCGACAAGAGTGAGGGATTTCAAAAGATTCTTTAGATTCTATATCTGGTATAGTTAATAATATATAGACGTCCGGAGCTGGAAATGACCTAAGAAATTATTTTCTCTTACCGCTCTCATTTAGTAAATAAGAAATACCTGTGGAATGAAGTGGTGTGCCCAAGGACACAGGCAAAGTAGAGACCAGAACTCTGCTCCTGATTCCCAGTGCTGTTTATTTTCCATTTTTATTCACCTTTTAGATAGGTTTGAATTTTAATAAATTAAACAACAATGCATCTGGTATTGATATAGACCAGGTAAAGAAAATTAGGACAAACCTTGATATGAAGATGATGGTTTCTATATTTTTTAAGAAACCACACTGGGCTGGTCATATCCAGCTAAATAGAATTTAGACATAGGGATATGATGATCTATTAAGCAGAGAGGAATAATCCATGATTATTTACTTTAGTGACCCACAGTGAAGATTTTCATTGTTGCTGAACTTATTCCCTTGTGTTACAGGGAAGAAGGACCTAAGACCTGCCTCCCATATAAGTAACACCGTGTACTGGAGATGTCACTCAAAGGTAAAGTAGTGCACGTCACACATCAGTGGACTGGGGTAACAAGTACTATTTTCACTTCATGTAAATGTTACGAACAACATGCTTGGTTGATTTTAAGAGTAGATGGAGTCACTTCTTATAAACATTCACACTGCGATTTCTATATCTGAAACAAATTCCACTGAAATCCTGTTAAAAATTGTAGTACTAATGCTGTAGCAGGTAGAAGAATACATCCCTTCCCCAAAATGTCTATATTAGAATATCTGGATCATATGAATATGTTTCTTAATGGTAAAAGAGACTTTGCAGATCTGATTAAGGGTATGGACTGTGAGAAGAGAATACCTTGGATTATCCAGGTGGGCTCAATCTAAGCACAGGCATACTTAAATGTAGAAGAGGAAGACAGAAAAGTCAGAGAGATAATGACAGAAGAAAAAAGAGGGGGCACTTCAAGCATGGAAAGGATTCAACCTGATGTTGCTGGTTTTAATGATGGAGGAAGGGGACCCCAAATTAAGTAATGCAGGTGACCTTGAGAAGCTGGGAATGGCCCTCAGCTGACACTCAGCCAACAAATGGGGACCTCAGTCCTATAAACACAAGGAATTTAATTCTGCCAACAATTTGAATAAACAGGGGAATGGAATCTCTCCTATTGGCTTAGGCTACTCAGGGTTCATTGAGTCAATCCAATCCAATCTGTAGAAATGAGACAGGAGGTGGGGTAGTTTCCAAAGGAAAGTCGGGGTCTTCTTCCCAGAAGGAGGAGAAATGAATGCCGGGCTGAAAATGACAGGCATCCTAGAAAGTAGGTCCCTTGCTATTCAAAATAAATCACACATCTGCTTTTCCATACATAAAACTCACCCAAAAGGAGAAGGTTCAAGTCCAGTATTCCTCCTTAGCTGGTATGTAACTCTCTTGGCCACGTGGGCACGTAGCCTCTCCTTGTCTTTTGATATATGTCTAAATTATACATGTATCCACACCCATGTGGATAATCCAGCACACTGTGAGGTGTCGATGATATAAACCTTCTCTTTGGAGAAGTAGATATTGGTAAATAATATACTATAGTCCCGTTTCCATGAGGCTTATCACATACTGTAGGTCAGAAAGTTGGTCAGCTGATCCCTGATAGAGGAGGGAATTTCTTGGTCAATCTGGTAACCCGGCGTTCTGTTCTTTGGTAGATTCTTCCTTTTTTCATTGCACTCTGTGTTGATATCGTAATATGGCCATTGGCTAGAATTCCCTTTCTGTCTGTGGGTTTTACCTCTTTTGCAGCCTTTATGACACAATGTGAGTTCAGGGACAAGGGGATTCTTTTAGGGGTTAAACAATCACAACAGACAAGCTTGTGGGGATTTTTTTGTTTTGTTTTGCTTCATTTGTTTGTTTTTGTTTTGTTTTGTTTTCCAACACAATTCTGTGAACTGCTCGGGATATTTTGGTCTATTTACTTCATTCAAACTAGAGAGCATGGTGAGCCATAGTCTCTGAGCCCCGAACCTGATAAAGGAATTGTGGTTTCTAGCAACTGACCTCAGATAGTTTCCTGCCTACTTTTCCAAACCTCGCTTCAATGGCTTCCAAATTGGGCTGTGCATTCGGACAGTTGAAAGCAATTGGTTAGGGAAGGAGAGACACGGATCTGCTCCTTGTCACAGACTCACCCAAGCTGCATCTTCACATGGAGATAATGTGTTTTATGGTCCAGCTTTCCCCAACATACATTTGGGAAATGACTTGCAAATTTCTATAAGCCTGCTCATTTTTTTTCCACTTGAAAAAGTTGACTTTTCCTATTTGCCACCTAGTGTGGGGTGGATATGAGGATGAGTGTGGGAAAATTCCACAGTGAGCTTAAATGTCCTTGATTGGAAGCAAAGTGCTTTCAAACACTACAAAAATGTTATCATTAGAGCCAAACTTTCAGGGAGGTGGGGGGAGTGAATATTTATATTCAGTTAGCAATGAGGTAAAAAGTCTCCTTTCTTCTCATTAGTGTGTAACATACAAATGCGTTATTATTTTAAAAACTGCATCTGAGAATTTACTTTCCCTGATGACTTTAGTGCATTTATTGTGACAGTTCATATACTTGGGATTATTTCTACCATCTTATTTTGTGCTTTCTATGCTTTCGTCTTTCTCTTTCCTTTTTCACCTTCTTCAATGAATTAAGTAGTCTTTTTTTTTTAGAAGATTTTATTTATTTATTTATTTATTTATTTATTTATTTTTTATTTATTTGAGAGAGAATGAGCAAGAAAGAGAGAGCATGACCAGGGGGAGGGGCAGAGGTAGAGGGAGAAGTAGACTTCCTGCTGAGCAGGGAGTCCCACAAGGGACTCCATCCCAGGACCCTGAGATCATGACCTAAGACAAAGGCAGACACTTAACCGACTGAACCACCCAGGCACCCTGAATTAAGGAGTCTTTATTCCCTTTTTCTTTGCTATTGTTTTAGAATTTATATGTATATGTGTATATGTATATATACACATATATGTATATACACACACATACTCATATGCATACATATGTGTATATTTTGTGTGTGTATATATATATATTCTTAGATGTGTAACATGACTAAGTCTAAAGTTAATGAATATTTTACCCTCAATCAATACAATAACCTTAAAATGCTTTAAGTCACTGACCTTACATATTGATTTTTGTCCAGTATTCTTATTCCTCCATGATTTCATACACTCAAAGTTACAATTTGTTATGGCTTGTGGGACATTAGATTATTGCTCAGTAAGAACAGCTATCTTCATGGGCAAAATATGATTCCCTGTCCCTGAACTCTGGGATCTGTCATGTGACTTGCTTTGGCTCATGAGATATTCATAGACGGGAAATGAGTAGAGCTTGACAAGTTTGTACAGCAGGCTCCTACCTTTCTTCTTCTTTTTGTTTTTGAGACATGATTCACTTACCTTAAATTCACCCTTTTAAAGTGCATGACTCAGTGGTTTTTAGTGTATTCACAAAGTAGTGCAACCATCACCACTATCTAATTCCAGAACATTTTCATCACCTCAAAAATAACCCCATGTCCATTAGCCATTCTCAGTACCCGCTTTTACCAGCTCTCGGTGAGCACTTTTCTTTGTCTCTACGGACTTGCCTATTGTGGACATTAAATGTAAAAATGATATCCTACAATATGTGACTGGCTTCTTTTACTTAGCACAATGTTTTCAAGGATCATCCATGCTGCAGCATGAGCCAGCACTTGCTTTTTTATGGCTGAATAATATTTCATTGTATGGATATGCCACATTTGCTTACCCATTCATCAGTTGATGGGCATTTGAATTGTTTCCACTTTTTGGCTAATACAAATAATGCTGCTATGAGCATTTATGCATAAGCTTTCATGTAGACCTGTTCTCAATTATTTTGTGAAATAGAGTGGAAAATTGCTACATAATAAAGTAACTCCATGTTTAACTTTTTGAGGAACTTCCAAACTATTGTCCGAAATGGCTACACTATGTTAAACTCCCACTGATAATAGTGTGAGGGTTATAATTTCTTCATATCTTCATCTCTACTTGTGATTTCAATTTTTTATTATATTTTAGAAAGTGTGAAGTAGTAGCTCATGGTTTGGTTTGTGTTTTTCTGATGAATAATGGCGTTGAGCATTTTTCATGTTCCTATTGGCCATTTGTATATCACCTTTGGAGAAATGTCTATTTAAATCCTTTGCCCATTTTAACATTGGGTTATCTTTTTATTATTGAGTTGTGAGAATTATTTTCAAATTATTGTTAGTAGATCCTTATCAGACACATGATTTGCAAATATTTCCTCCCATTTTGTGAGTTCTTTTCCTTTTCTCGTGTCCTTTGATATACAAAAGTTGTAATGTTGATGAAATCCAATGTATCTGTTCTTTGTTTGTTGTGTTTTTAGTATCATCATATCCAAGAAATCATTGCTAAATCCAAGGCCACAAAGACCTATTTCTCTGGAAGTCTTACCAGATATATGGTAAATCTTCTCTCTAGCTCCCATGCCTCTTAACTTCCCTTTTATATTTTTTTATCTTTTAATTTTTCAGTGTTTCATGATGAGTAGTTTTCTCCCATGTATTCTCCAGCTCTCTGTGATTGTGTCCAACTTTTTCTTTAACTCATTTGTTGAGTTTTAATTTAAATGATAAGGTTTTCTATTTCTGGAAGTATTAGGTGGTTATTTCTCAAATATCTCTGTCCTTTTTTTCATAGACCTACTTATATGCCTTAATTCCTTCTTTTATATTATTAGTCATTTTAAACATAATCATTTATAATTCCAGGTTATTCTACAATCTGATTTTCTTGGTAGCCTAATTCTGTGTGTGTATATATATGTGTGCATGCATGCATGCGTGTGCATGTACTGACTTTTGCTCATAGTTGCTTGTTTCCTCATGACCGTTATATTTTTTATGTAAGAGCACCCTTACACTGACCTTCCCTGTGGAAATCCTGTATGATCTGGCTATGCTATTCTTAAGTGGTTTTGAGTTTTCTTTGGCCTAGAGCTTTGACGTATTACAAATTGGGATTGATTTAATAGTCTATTCTTTGTGTAAAAGTGCACACACCATGCAGGTGGCATACATTCGCCCACAAATCCATGTGTTACAGTTTCACAGATATGAATTTTTAAGGGAAATCTGTTTTCTCATTCAAATACCAAGGAGATTCAGATGAAGTCTTTTTGATATATTTTACTAATCCTCCTGTCCAAGGTCTCGGCCTTATGTAGAAGTCAGTTTCATTTCCCTCTTTCCCATTGGCCCAAGGTTTCATCTACCATGGTAATAAAATATAAGAATATAAAACACATCATTGAGACTGACAGTACCTCCTCAGGCCATTGCAACCTCTGCTCCCCTGCTTACATTTGTAGTTTTCTATATTCTCTTTATATCCGATCCCTGAGCATTTCTCCTACTTACTCAAGATTTTAGCTATGAGTTTAAAGGATATTCGATATATTTGTTT